GTGAGCTGTGGCTTAATTGGTTATTAATAACTTCTTTGTTAACCAGCCAGCCCTAGGGAGGAACCGAAATTTGACTACCCCGCTGGAGAGCTCAGTCACCGGCACCCAGCGATCATTCACAATTTCTCCCTACGGTTTTTTTTTTTTTTTTAATTTATTTATTTTTCTGTCGTTCCTGGGAATCGCAGCTGCCCCCAGCTGAGTCACGGCGGTGCCCTCACCTACGCACATGGCACAGGCTTCTGCTGCGGTGGGTTTTTCTTTTTCATTCCTAGAAAAATAGCAGATGCTCCTATTGAGGGGGAGATTCTTGGAATCCATTCAGGCCCGGGGATGTGACCAAATTCCCGGTTCCCCTCAAACAAGCCCTGCGGGAACCGCGGAGCTCTCCTGCCCATGGGTGGTTCCTCTGCCAGCCCATGCCGAGGGCGAGGAGCCTCCCGCCGTGGCAAACAGCGACAGCAAACAGGCTCCACACCCAAACCCACGCCTCCTGCCCGCTTTCTTTGGAACCTGCAGTTAAAGGGAATCTTTTCATTGCCCCCCGTGCGAATGAAAGCAGTGCTGTGACATTCTGACAGAATGCAGCACAGGGGGATTTTCCAGCTTCGGCTCTCTGGGAATGGTTTCTGAGGACCCACAAGAACTGGCAGAGGATTCCCTATTCCCATCCATGCTGCAGCGTGGAAATTTTAGCATGGGGACCTCAGCTTCTCCATAGCCCAGGGATGGAGGTTGGAGGCCAGACACAGCTGCTCATCCCATGAATTGCCATCAGACATTTCCATAGCAAGATTCAGCAGAAAACATTCATCCCACAGCTTAAAGCGGAGCCTGACCTGCCTGAGGGCACCCAGCACATCCCAGAGTTACCCCCAGGTGTGTCAGTGACCACAGCAAGGCCCCAGGACAGAGCCAAGGGCCAGGACACCACGGCCATGGGGCACACGAGATCTGCTGCCAGCTGGGCACTGAGCACCTGCTCCAGGTGGATCTGGACACTCCATCCTCTCCAGGTCACACCAGGGAGGACACACGCAGCACACAGAGGGACAGCTCACCTTTTGCTCTTGGTGCATCCCAGGGGACAGCAGGGTCTCAGGAGCAGCTCCAAGACACAGCCACAAAAGAGAACACTCCCTCCTCATCTGCCCAAACCCCAGAAGTGGCCTCCACATCCTTTTATAGAGCCCAGGGAGGCAAATAACCTCCTGGTGTGCTGGCCTTGATGATTAATTAGTTAATGGTTCACACCTCTGTAAACGATCCTGGCCTGAGCCCCCATCCCATAGCCAGGTACCGACAGTGACCTCATCCAGCAGCCCAAAACTGAGTCCTGGGAACTCCCAGGGAGCCCCCACTGTTTGTTCCCCCGAGGCTGCTCTGTCTGGGCTCCCCCTCCTCACCAGAACAGTGTTTGGCCCTTTCCCAGGAGGCCAATCCCAGCCACCATCCAAGGCTGTATGTAGACTTGAAGAGTCTGTCTGGGATGAGTGGTCCTTTCTTGTAGGTTTGGGGTTGAATTCCACACCCGAGGCTTCATGACTTCCAGTCCTTTCCCAGATCCACTTTTGGGGCCAAAAGCAGAAAGTGAGGTCCCCCCACCAGCCCCCTGCCCTCCCATGAGAGCCCAATCCCACTTCCCAACCCACCTACATCACAGACAAGCAGGCCCTGCTCTGATTCACCAGCCCAAAAACCCCAATGCCAGCCCCAACCACCCTCGCTGACCCCGAGGAGATGCAGCTCCACATCTGGAGACCACCAGCGCCTCAAGGAGCCTTTCATGGCCACAGAGGACCAAGTGTGCCCAATTGCTCCTCCTGTAGATGTTTTCCTACAGGTCCTGTGGGACAATGTGAGGTCCAGAGGGGTCTGATCCTCTGTCCTCAGCTACCCCAGGGTGTAAATGGTGACACAGGTTTCTCAATGTGGGCTGAGAAGTTGAGTTACACACTGGATCTGATGCTCAGGAGTCACCGATGTGGCCTCTGCTCCGGGGAAAAAGTGCTGACACTGAGATCCTGTTTGGGGGCCCTGACGTGGCATTTTCTAGCCCAGGATGTCACTTCCTCTCTGTGTGGGGCCTCAGTGGGGCTCCTGCTTCCTCAAGAGATATCCAGATCCCCACGGGAAGGACTGATTCCATCCCTGGGCACACAGGCAGCTACAGCCTTTATCCTACAGGGTTTATCCACATTCACCATCCCAGGCAGGAGCTGTGCTGCATTCCCAGCCCCCAGCACAACGCTGTGCTGTGGGGCACCATCCATCCCTCTCCCTGCTCTGGGAGCAGAGCCCTGGAGCTGCAATCATCCAGCTCGCCTTGCCCAGCCCTGCACGACCCAGGCCCAGCTCAAAGCCCCTCAGGAGGCAAAGCCAGGCTTGAGACACCCCCTCCTCTCCCATGATCACTGAGAAGGAGCTGGGGAGCCCGGACTGGTGTCCATCACAAAGCTCCCCAGGATGCAGAGGAAGGGGAAGAGGCTCCCCCTTCCTCTCCTTCCTCCTCTTCCTCCCTCCCGCGTGGGGATTTTGCAGCCAGGTAAACACAGGATGTTGATGAAACAGGGCTGGGCACATTGGGCAAGCCAGGAGTCAGCAGGAGCTGCAGGCAGCTCCCAACGCCTGGAATGGCCCGGGAAAGGACAAAGCCAGAGCCCCCGGCACCTTCCTCCTCCTGTCCCCAGGGTCACAGAACTCCCCTGGTCACAGGGAGAGGCAGCGTGAGCTGGTGGCCAAAGCCAGGGCAGGGCTCTGCTCTGTGCCCTGGGGTGATTCATGGGATCCCTTGGGATCTCCTTGCAGGCTGAGCTGGACTCATGACCTAACTCCAAAGTTCAAGTTTTGTCACCCAGCCAACAGCAGCCGTGTGGCACCTCCTGTGTCCCTCTGAACCCTGGAGACATGCAGGGCACAGGGACGAGGGGTCAGATGCCCCAGGACCCCACCCTGCCGGGCATTGGCTCACGGCTGGCACAGTGATTTGGGATGGGGCACCCGGGGACCAGCAGCGTTTGGCTCCCAACCCAGAAAAGGGGCCACAGATTGCTCTGGCACCAGCCCAGCCCCTCCTGGGCTGCAGGAGCTGCTGTCACCCCCACAGTGACCACGTAATTAGAGCCCGTGTGGAGGGCCAGGTGGCGCTGTCCCCAGTGTCCCCAACGTCCCCAGCGTCCCCAGTGTCCCCAGTGTCCCCAGCGTCCCCAGTGTCCCCAGTGTCCCCAGCGTCCCCAGTGTCCCTTGGGGCACTGCTGCCATCTGCTGGCAGGATCCCACCCTGCTCCTGAGCCCGGCCACTGCGCCAGGCCTGGGGACCCTCTGTGACCCCACCACTGTCCTGTGCCCCCTCCCAGACACTGCGGGACCACGTGTGGCTCCAGCCCGGACACCCCAAGATGCCCCCAAAGCCTCCCTGCTGGCCCAGGAAGCCAAACCTCACAACTGCTCCTGGAGTCCTCCCCTGGCACACCCCAATAAGCCACTCCTGGGCTGGAGATTTCTCCCCCACCAACCACTTCCAGTGCCCAGACACTCTCCCTGTCCTGATCTCCATGTGGGATGGCCTGGAGTGGCCTTGGCATCACCCAGTTTGGGCTGAGGGACCAGGGACAGGATCAGGCCCCTGGCCACAGCCGTGGTGGAACAGCAGCTCTGCTGGGCTGCTCTCCCCAGGGAACATCCAGCTCCCTCCTCCCCATGGCTGCTGAGGGGCAGAGGAAGCTCATCCCAAGATGATTTCCTGCTGCATTCCCATCCCCTGGGTCTCTCTGGGATGTGGGGATTTGCTGGATCCCATCCTCCATGTGGCAGCCGAGCACACACGGAGCCTCTTCCCACGGCCTCCCTGACCTTCCCAGCATCTCCATGTCCCCTGGGACCAGCACATCCCAGGATAATCATCGCAGCTTGTGCCTCCACCTCCCAGCACATCCCTCTCCACTTCCACAGGCACTGAGGACCTCCGTGGGGTCTTACAGGGAGTTTCCTTTTCGGATACAGTCGGGAAGTGGGAATAAGGTTTGGGAAAGGCAAATCGCCGAGCCCGTGTCCCCACAGTGGCCCTACAAACACCATGGCTCATCCCACCCCGGCCAGATGGCAGCAGCATCCTGCTCCTCACTGGAAAATGCCCAAATCCATGGGCAGGGACTGAGCTGCAGCTGTCCCTGGTTTAATTCCTCGCAGCAAAGCCAGGCAGTGTCTGGCGGATTTTCCATGCCCCAGCCCACACACAGGAAGGCTGAACAGCTCCGGAGACCTTCCTGCTGGGAATGATACCCAGCCCTGCACACTCAGTGCCTGACGCCCACGGGAGCAGCGGGAAGTTTTAGTGCTCAGTTTTAGTCTAAAAGGGATTTTTATTCCCTAAGCCCTGCAGAAAAACAATTGAAAAAAAATCAAACCTCTCAAGGGGCCACAGCCCAAAGAGCCAATATCAGTTGTGCTGAAAGCTCGCTGTTCAGAGCTGAGACACGGAGTGTTCGCCCTGAATTCCAAAGAAACCAGGTGTGTGTATCCACCCACCTCCCTCCTCCTCCGCCCTTCCCACCCGCCGCGAATTTCTTACTTCTGGAGCAACCCTTCCCACCGAGCCCCCTTTTGGCAGCTCAGCCAGAGACTCCCCCACCAGCACCGCCTGTGCTCTCCAAACACCTTCCCAAAACCCTCCACCCGTGCCCAGCCCATCATCATCCCGCTTTCATCCTGTCCCGCCCGCTGCCCACCGCTCACCGCGGAGGAACTTCCAAATCCTCTCTTCCATCCTTCCACACATGCATCCCCTGGCACCCGGGTGGGCTGGCACGGCTCCCCCCCGCCTCCGCCGCACATCTGGGCAGCTGTGGCCGCGACAGGGCCCGCGTGGTGCCCCGGCAGCGCTGACATCAGCGCGGTTTCCTGCCCGCCGGCGCCGCCGCACCGTGCGCGCAGCCCCGACCCCACAGCCCCGCGGGCTGCGAGCCCCAGGCGGCCCCGGGACCCCTCCAGCAGACCCCCCGAGAGCCATGGAGTCGGTGGCCCTGTACAGCTTCCAGGCGACGGAGAAGGACGAGCTGCCCTTCCAGAAAGGGGACACCCTGAAGGTACAGGGGACAGGGGTCACCAGCCCCGGGGGGGGGTTGTATGCTGTCGCTTTGTAGGGACAGAGTGGGCACATGGTGACACCGGTGCGTTCTTTGTCCCTGACTTTAATGCTTCTGGGGCTTTCTGTGGGATGTGAGGAGCCAACCTCGAGGATTTTGGAGTGTGGAGTAGCATTCCCTGCTTGCCTGTGTCAGCAGGCACAACTTCAGAGGACACCCCCAGCTGGGACACGGCATGTGGCCTCCCTGGCCATCAGTGCCACCAGCTGTGCTCTGTCCCTCGGGGCTGGGACACGTTTTTCCTGTCCGAGGGGCACTGGAGGACACAGGGGTCCAGCAGCAGGGATCACCAAACACCCCCTCAGGCACTGGCATTGGGGTGGGCTCTTAGATGCCACCTAGGAATCCCAAAAAAAGCTCCAGGGGGGCTCAGAACATCCCTGGGGAGCAGCAGCCCCGCGATGGGAGTGAGGGCAGCCCCTCCCTGCCCATCTGCTCGTCCCTCTCGGGCTCTTCCCGGACCCCTGGCACTCTGTAGCCCCCCGGGGAGGGCGGGGGCACAGCCGGGCTGGATCCCAGAGCCCCAAACCCTCCGTGCCGTCCCTGCCTCCCGGCGTGTTTTCCCCGTGCCCTGACCCGGGGTTTCGGATCCTGTTTTCACAGCTGTGCCGGCCCCGGGCCCCTGCGTGGGAGGCTGGAAAATGTTGTCACACGGAAGCGGTGTCAGCACCCACTGTCACCGTCCCGGGGGACACGGGGGCCTGGTTCATGTCCTGGCTGCTCCACGGACGGATTTCACACTCTTCCCTGGGCTGGGGATTGGGACAAGACCAGACACCTTCCAGCTCTGTGACCCCAAAGCCCCCAGAGCGTGTCAGCACTGTCAGAGCCCCCTTTTCCCCATGGGATGGTTGGGGGGGTGTGCATGGGGTCCCACTCAGCCCCTCTCCCCGGGGAATGGCAGCCCCTGACACCTCCCTGCTCCTCTCCCACCTCAGATCCTCAACATGGAAGATGACCAGAACTGGTACAAGGCTGAGCTGTTCGGCTGCGAGGGCTTTGTCCCCAAAAACTACATCAAGGTCAAGCCACACCCGTGAGTACCATGCCACCAGCCAGGCAACAATCCCAATTCCCAAAGGTCTGCCACGAGCCAGGGTAGTCCCACACGTGGGGAAACTGAGTCACAGAGACGGGGTCTGTCTGCCAGGTCAGCCTGCCAGTGCCACCACAGCCCGAGGAGCAGCACACCCACATACCCCCAAAAATGCAGCCCTCACACCGAGCTGCCGCTAAATAAATGATAATTGGGGAACAACAAAGCGTTATGGGATTACGACTGCATTAAACTCAATCCTATTACCACGTTATTAAAGCCCAGCCTAATCCATCGCTGACTGAACCTGTGTTTTATGTATCCTTAGCCCCTGGTAAATCACATTTAAATGTCAGAGCGAACGCGTGGGCTCGGGGCAGCCCGGGGCACATCCCACTGCTTCTCCAGCTTGGGATAACAGCCACGACGGGCGAGACCCAGTCTCTTCCACGCAGCACCTGCAGGGCTGGCTCTGTGCTAAACTCCGTGGCTGATCATTCACCGAGAAATTTCTGCAGCAGCAGAGAATCTTCACGGCCCGGGGACCCGAAAGAGCCGGGCACAGCCTTAGCAAGGGTGGGACACGGGGACTCTGCTCCTGCAGCTCCCCTGGGCAGGGCGGGCAGGAGGGGTTTGTCCTGGCAGCGAGGGGGTTCTGCTCTACGCCTGGGAGGGCTGTTCCCACGAGAGGACAAGGGACACGGAGGAGGGGACAGGCAGCAAAGCGGGTGACAGGCCAGGTGACAGGATGCGGTCTCGACTGCCGGTAACGCTGCGCTCGCCCCGAGCGGAGGGGGCAGCGCCCCCACAGCACCCCAAAAATGCAGGGATGAACTGAGAGGGGGAGGGAAGGGAGAATCTGCCGGGGGAGGGTCCCAGCCCTGTGAGGAGCCTGGTGGGCGCTCCTGTCCTGGGAATCTCGGTGCCTCCGCCCCGCAGGGTGCGGATCCGGCTCTGGGGTGTCCCGGGGTGCCCGAGGGTGCCCGCGGGGCTCAGCCCGGTGCCCCTCGCAGGTGGTACGCGGGCAGGATCTCCCGGCACCTGGCAGAGGAGAGGCTGCTCCAGCGCAATCACCTGGGAGCCTTCCTGATCCGCGACAGCGAGAGCGCCCCCGGAGAGTTCTCCCTCTCCGTCAGGTAAGAGCCTTTGGGGCAGAAGGGAAAGGGAAAGGGGTGTCTACAGTCCCCGCTTTGGGGTATCGGGCCACCCTCGTGTGTGCTGGGGAAGGGCTGAGCACCCTGCCCTGCCCTGGACACCCCAGAGGGGCTGAGGAGCCCCAGCACATCCAGCACAGCCTCGCACAGGACCTTCCCCTCCTTCCTCTCCTCCACAGCTCCGCCTCCATCCCCGCTCTTCCTGCTCCCTGCGCCGCTGCCTCGCTTGGAGTCTCTCGCAGGGACACCCCTAAACACCTGAACATCACCCGTGGGTGATGACGGGGCTGGGGCCGAGCTGCAGGCACCGCCCGGGGGAACAAAGCCCGGAGCATCCCCAGGGATGAAGGCTGCGGCATCCCCAGGACTTCGGCGCAGGGCAGAGTTTGTCTCCGAGCATCTCGCCCCTTCCCTGCCCCGGCCTGGAGAGCAGTGGGTGGCCCCAGGCCAGCCAGGCACTTTCTCACACTTTCAACCCCTAATTGAACGTTTCTTGCCCCTAATGAGAGGGAGCCGTGCTCTGCCGTCAGTGCTGCCCCTGCCCGGGGCACCCCGACCTCTGAGCCCAGGCACACCCTGTGGGGTGACAGCAAGGGACAAATCCTGCCTGCCCCATCCTCCTGCAGCGCGGGGGTCCCCAGGAGCGCTGGGAAGAACAATCCCAGCCTCTGCAGCCTCCTGGCGTGTGCCGAGACTGCAGCTCTCACCCCTCCTTCCTCAGATGTGGCCCTGGACAAAGCCAGCTGCCCTCCACGTGGGTGGCACTGCCATCCCTGAGCCCCGCTGTGCCGGGGCCGGGCACCGAGTTCTGGCTGCCCCTGGGGTGAGTTGGGCAGGGCTCAGCTCATTGTGGGTCCTCATTTCAGGGCCAGGAATGACCCCAGTGCCACCAACACCCCCACTCCATGGCAGGAAGGGTGCAGTGAGACCCATGTGCTCACCCCGACCTTGCCGGCACCGCCAGGCTTTACCCACCTCAGGGGACGCTGCCAGGATGTCCCCAGGGTGACCTCCATCCTCCTTCTGCAGCTACGGGAAGAACGTCCAGCACTTCAAGGTGCTCAGGGAGAGGAACGGCAAATATTTCCTCTGGGAGGAAAAGTTCAACTCCCTCAACGAGCTGGTGGATTTCTACAGGACCACCACGATCTCCAAAGAGCAGGAGCTTTTCCTGTGCGACAAGGACCACACCCAGGAGGTACCACCATGGGCGGGGCCATGGGTCCCAAACCCCTGCTCAGTGTCCCTGCAGAGGGGGACAGGGACATCCCTGGCTGGCACAAGAGGGTGCAGCAGCCTGAGACAGGCAGTGCTGCAGGGAGGAGCAGCTCAGCAGGGCAGGGCAGGGCACAAATCACTGTCCCATCACTGTCCCTCGGGCCAGGGGTGATGCCCAGGGCAGGTGGCAGAGCCCAACCAGATCAGGACAGGGCACAGCCAAACTCCAACAAAGCCAAGGCCTGGGGCAGCGCTTGTGGAGGTGGCAAAACTGGACTTTGGGAGCTGGGATAGGGAAGGCTCCAGCATCTGGAAGGACCTGGGAAGGAAAGGGTGCCAGCTGCCTCCAAGGGTCCCCTGGGCACCCATCTTGGGTCTCCCAGCAGCAAGAATAGGGAATCTTGTGCCCTGGGGTGTTCCCCTGCACCTGGGGGTGTCCCCAGCACTCCACTCTCCCCTTTTCTAGCTTCTGTCTCTTCCAAGCCGGCAGCCCAAGGCTCGTCCTCATCCCGTGGTGGCACAGTGTCCCCATCAGAGTGCCCAGTGCCGGGGGTTGGCAGGTGGGGACCCCTCTCCTCCCGCCAACCGCTGCCCTCGGCTTCCCTGCAGGTGAAGAGACCCCGATTCGTGCAAGCCCAGATCGACTTCTCAGCCCAGGAGGGCTCCCAGCTGCCCTTCCTGCGTGGGGACATCATTGAGGTCCTGGACTGCCCCGACCCCAACTGGTGGCAGGGGAAGATCTACGGTCGGGTCGGGCTCTTCCCCCGGAGCTACGTCCAACCCCTCCGCAAGTGACCTCACCCCGGTGACCGGGCGGGACCCGGCCCCTTGTCCCCACCCACGCACACGGCCTGGGTGTCCCTTTGTCCCCAGAATGGTGCCTGACACTCCCTGTGACACCCTGGAACCTCAGCTGTGACCCCCCAGCCCAGGGATGGGGCTGGCAGCTCCAGAAAATGTGAAGTGTTCAACCACGGCCATAAAAACTTCCCCAGAGCCACAATCCCGTGGGATGAGAGCAACAGAGGGACTGAGCCCAAAACCCCAAACCTTGGCTCCTCTCCAAATCCCAAAAGCAAAGCCCCAGCTCCAGGGAGGGCTGCAGGCAGCCAGGACACAACCAGGATCCATAACTCCACGGAGGAATTCCAGGACTCAAGGCGCCAGGGAAGGCTCATCCAGGGGGATTCCATGCTGCAGGTGCTGTTCATAGCTGCAAATTGTAGAGCTTTTTTGTATTATTTTTTATATTTAGGGCCAGTAAAATGTGTTTGGGTGTTGCCCTCGAGTGTGGCTGCTCCTTTTCCAGCACTGCCAAGGTGTTCCCGTCCCTCCATTCACACAGGTGCTGCTTCACTGCGGTTTTGCTTCCCTGCAGCCCCCATTTCCCCACCCCAATGCCTGTCCCAAACCCCTCCCAGGGATTTTCTGCCCCCACAAATGCCCCCCACACCTCACAGCCCCTGGGATGCACTCAGGGAATGCAGCGCTCAGAACACCCAACTCGCTGCACCAGTGGATTTAAACATCACGTCCCAAACAAATAAAAAATACCACCCAAATCCTCATTTTTCCCCTCTCCAAGCACCTCTTTGCCATCCCAGGAGCTGTCGGGGCATTAGGCAAAATAGGCAGAAAATATTGACACAGGCAATGGACACTTCCACAGTGAAAAGCCACCATGGGCATGGGTGCTCTCTGGCCAGATTTGGGTAATGCTTGGTGCAGCCAAGGCACCCAGCTGAGAGCTGGGGACATGGACTGAGCTGCCCCATGCTCAGGTCACCCAGCCAGGCTGGGACAGGGACAGGAGGCTGTGTTAGTCCCCAACATCACCCTGACCCCATCCCTGCCCAAATCTCAGCCACACCCCACAGCATCACCCTCGTCTGAAGTATGAGGCACTGGCCAGACCCCAGATTTTGGGCTCAGCCTGGGCAGGACTCACCCCAAAGCTGCTGCATTTATAGCTCAGCCCAGCTTATTTACAGCTCCACAAATTTTCCTACATCTCCATCTGCTCATCTCAAAAAGCAGAAGAGAAAATAAAAGAAAAATAAATCCATGAAAACAGCTCTAGCTGGAACTGCCACTGCCGCGTGGTGCTGCAGGAAGAGGAAACAGCCGGAGCATAAAATGCACGCCCTGATCCATGGGGAAGGAGAATTCCCTCTGTCTGGAATGTCTGTGAGCCACAGAGGAGAGAATCAAAGGATGATGGAACGGTTTGGATGGGAAGGGACCTTAAAGCTCATCTTGTTCCACGCCCTGCCATGGGCAGGGACACTTTCCTCTAGACCAGGTTGCTCTAAGCCCTGTCCAGCCTAGTCTTGAGGCTAAAAGATCTTGGAAAAGCAGGAATGTCGGAGTGAGGCGGGAGCTGGGTGTGCCAGGTGGCCGAGAGCTGCTGATCCGGGCAGGGAATGCAGAGCAGCCCCCGGCACAGCCCGGGCTGGGGGAATTCGGGAAGGATCAGATGTTCCCATCACCACACCCCCACCTTGGCATGGAGCAGCATCCAACACCAGCGGGAGTTTCCAGCCGGGCACCACGGCTGCAGCAGGAGCTCAAACCCCCAGGTCTGGGAACTTGGAGCTCTTTGCCAGCCCACAATCAAAGCCCTTTCCTCAGGGCTGGAACGAGATGATCTTTAAGGAACCTTCCAGCCCAAACCATGATCCCAGGATGTGGCATTCCCATCCTGATGGGTGCGGGAGCAGTTGGGACCCCCTGACAACCACTCAGAACCCAACCCACCTTTCTCCACGCTGAAGGAAAACCTCAAACTTGCAGCTTAAACAGCTTTTTTCCCCTCTCCCAAGCACATTTCCTCGGCTTTACCCCTACGATCCGCAGCGTCCTGCTCGCACTAATCACTGAGGAAGTTGCCCGGGATCCACCGCAGCAGCGACTCCCGCCCTGGGCGGGCAAAGCCCTTCGCAAACATTCATTATCCATCTTCGGGAAAGCTGTCCTGCCTTGTCACACCCCTGTCACCGCCAGCGAAGCCGGTGCCAGGGCTAAGCAGGTCCTGAGACAAGCACCCCTCTTCCCAAGGGGGACAATGCGTGACCCCCATGGCCCGGGATCGCTGCCCATCCCTTTTCCCACCCTCTGCACATGGAGGATGCCAAGAAACAGCCGCTCCTGCAGCCGCTGGTGCGGCCAAGCCCCCGCACAGCCCAGCCAAAAGCCCTGACCCAGATTCGCTCCCTGTCATTGTCTTCCCGTCGGGGACGCTGCTGGGCACCGTGCCGGGCATTCCCCAGCGCTGACAGCTCGGGCTCTGGCCGGGGCTGTGCGGGCAGCGCTGCCCGAGCTCCCCCGGGGATCACCGGGGGGACCGGGCTGGAGGCGACGGGGAGAGGCTGCACCGAGCGCCCCGTCTGCGTTTCCAGCGCTTTCATCCGTAAAATAATCCAAGGGTTTGTTCTCCTTACATAAGCCGGGCTCAGTGGAGGCGCTTTGCAGGCTCGACCGGCCCCACCAGTCTCCCCGAAACCCCCGGGTGTCCCCGAAACCCCCGGTCAGCGACCCGGGGCCGCAGCTTCCTCCAGATGTCCATGGTGAAGAGGATGCTGCTGCTGCTGAAGATGAAGGTCAGGGATGACACCAGCGCTGCCATCATCACCGCGAGCATCAGACCCCGCAGCCCTGTGGGACAGAGGGAGCGGCTGAACCGGGAGGGATGGGATGGGATGGACAGGATCACCCCGGGCTGGTGCTCGCCCCTCTGCAGCCACACTCTGGGATCTCCCTCGGGGCGAGGATGGAGTTTGGGAACATTCAGCTGCACCCCGGGACCCTACATGCCCTGACCTCACTTCTGGAGGGACCCTCGGGGAGGCACGGGCTGTGCCATGCACGGAACATCCATGGGGTCCCCCAACATAGACCATCCATGGGGTCCCCCCCCGACCCTCCCAGACCATCCGGGAGCTTCCCCCCAACATCCAAGCCCTGGCAGCACCCCCGGGGTGCAGCAGAGCCCGGTGGGGTTGGAGTCACCCCCTGGCACCCACCTGCCACTGGGCATCAGCTCCAGCACGGGTTTGGGGTAGGCAGTGTTGGAGCAGCCCACAGCAGTCCCGTACACACGGCTGCACTCCTCGGGGTCCACACAGGCCACGGTGTCTGGGGGACAGAGGCAGGTGACATGTTGAGACCCCTGACAGGGTGCGGGCCAGCCCTGCACCCCTTGACCCCCCTTTGGATGGCCACAGTGCCCAGACCTTGGCAGGACAGCAGGAGGAGAAGCAAGGAGCACATCCTACCTGAAAATCCACCCCTGCCTCGCCCACCTCACTGCCACACTCAGCTCCAACACATCCGCCCACCTCCATCCCACCGTCAGCTCCTGCTGCCCACACTCAGCGCAGGTTGGATCTATTCCCACATTAAATCCAGTGACAGCTGCCCCGGGGGGATCTCCAGAGCCCCACCAAGACCTGAGGCAGCAGAGCCCCGGGGCAGGCACTGCCCATCCCCACCCACGGGGCCAGCCGGCTTTGTGCACCGTTGTGACAATTTCCTGGGCATGGGCAGCACCAGCAGCTCCTGGGATTTGTGTGGCAGCTCGCCAGGACCATCAACACCCAATTATTTCTATGTCTTAACGAGAGCTGAACCCTTTTTTTTTTTTTTTTTTTTTTTTTTTAATTGTTACGCTCATAAAATATTGAAATGGATGGAAATTAATGTCAAGCATAAATATGGATGGGCTGCCTGGCTCTCCAGGCTGCACCCGCCCAGGCAGGAGCACGGGGACGAGCACGGGTGAACCCTGCACAGGGCTGGCAGCATTGTCCTGCTTCTCCTGCCTGCTGACCTCCACCAAAGCAGCTTTGACACCTTGGGACTTTCCACAAAGGAGCGTGGGGTGCGATGGGAGCACGGCTGGGTTGTGGGCAGACCACAGGCCGTGCTCAGCACATCCCAAGGATGCCAAAAAAGCCCAACCTGGGCCGCCTTTCCCCAAGGTCAGAGTCAGAGCTGGGGCTCCTTCCTGCAGCAGCCGTGAGCAAAGCTGCCATCAGCACCTCGTGCCTCAGTTTCCCCTCTCTAAAACACCACGTTGTGCACGGCTCCATGCAAATCCTTGGTGGCTGGAGGGTGGAAAACGTTCCAAAGGGCAAGGCAGTGTCTGGATTTTGTATTCCAGCTGAAATGCCCGCCCCAGGCCTCAGCTCTAGCAATGAACACTTGGTGGGGCCTCACAGTGAGTGGGAAGCAGGAGCCCCCGAGCCAGGAGCAGAGCCCAGTGTCATACCCCACTGCCTCACTTTTAGGCTCTCTGCTAAAAATGGAAAATTAATTAGGACCTTGTGATTAATGCTTCCATCTGCAGGAAAGGGGCCACGTCTGCAACGGGTGCTGCCTGTCCAGCTGGATCCACCCTGGAATGATGAGGAGCAACCTGCTCAGCCACAGCAACCCGAGCCTGCAAACAGGGGCTGCACCCAATTCAGGGGTTAAATTCACCACGTGGGGTGAAGAATGGGGGAGAATGACGGGGAAATGGGGGACAACACGGGTGTCATCACCCCTCGTGAGGCTCAGGTGGTGATGCTCCAGGTGTGGGGCTCTGCCACCCCAATCCAAGCTCTGAACCCACGAGCAGAGCCAGCACACAGCACACGATGGCTGGGATGCAGCATTTACCCCACATGCAATAAATCATTAGTGCACACACCCCGTGAAAGAGCCTGTAAATCTCCTGGCACAATAAAAACACCTGGAGCGAGCGGCTGAGGCGGCGAAAACCACAACACACTCCTGCCACGCCACACACACCCACAGCACCCATCTGGGCCATCTCCCACTGCACCCAAAGGGGTCCTGGCTGCTGGCACCCACAGCACCCATCTGGGCCATCTCCCACTGCACCCAA